CACATGACTAAATATTGAGTGCATACATCAGCATTCTTTGATAACACTGGAATATTTAAGGAAGTATGATTTACATTTTAAAACTAAAGCGGCTTTAGTTTCTGATCTGGTCGTTTTCGCCACTTCCTTATTGACATCTGTTTTTGTACTGTTGTTGACATTTACGTGCAATTTTAAAGCAGAGAAGAGTGTGTTTTATAATGTAAGTATGTAAGCATGTATAATGAAGACTGATACAAACAGGAAAGAGGTGAAATGCTGTAGTGCGATGGATTAAAGACGACTTTGAACAAGGGGAGATGAACGTGACCCTCATGGGAAGAAAGAAGCCCGCTCACTGTTGGCAATTTTGGTCATGTCCACCTTGGGTTTTGGAGCAGACGTCATAAGTGAAGGGTGGACCTGACTATTACCGAGTGTCCATTTGGTGGTGATACCAGTTAATGTTATTAATGTTCACAATCTTAATGTATCCATACTTCAAAAACTAAAAGAAGACTTTAAAGTAACTGTTGGGAGCCTAGATTCATCAGGAAAATGTTTACTGAGGTTGTAGATCAAGTGAGAAGTCAGGTAATTTTCTCAGTCGTCTGTAGAGTCTAACTTCTCTTTGCAACTAGAGGATTCACCCCCTGCTGGTATTCATAAGAATGAAGGTCTAAGTAACTAAAGGACTATTTTATATACAGTATATGTGCAGAGGTGGAGAAAATTCAGGCTTTGTTTTCTGGATTTCTACCTGCTGTAGCTTTAACATTTACATTTCCTGTCCTCTCTTCATTCTGCTGCCCTTTGGCTACAGCCTTATCTCTCTCTAACATGACACCACTGATCTCAGATACGTTTAAACAATAATAACGAGTGCAGTTTGTGCTAGGTGGGTTATCTGACAGAGCACACTGCGATCAGCTTTTCTGATCCAACTGTTCTGCCACTATAGCTGCTGTTATTAGGACATAAAACATGATAGTTTTCTGTTTTAGCACAGAGGTCTTTCTAGTACACAGTTTAGTCAACACTTTTATAGTAAGGACTTCCCAAAAAAACCTCGAGTGTCAAAGTGTGTAAGCTTATAAAGGAAGACTTTATGGTTTTAATGTGAGATTACATTAGATTGTAATTTTTAAAAACATATTTCTTCCTGGTTATTTTATTCCTGAATGTTTCAAATATATTTTCAGAAATAATGTTGTCTCCATATGTACACACAATTGCATTCACATCACCTGGAGCTGATCATGTTTGGTTTAATGGATTCCATTAAAATGTGGAACATTTTTTATTGATATCTTTCAATTTCCACTTGATTTTATACGAGAACAGTGTTTTTTTATGGGAGTATGTAAGTCCCATTCCTATTAACAATGTGTGTTCACGTTGTTCCAGAGAACGAAATAAATGTTTCGTCATAATGTATATATATATATATTTTAATTTCACCCATGTATTTAAAACAGTTTCAGCCCTCGCAAAAAACTGAACTAAATTCTATAAATAATTAAAGGTTTCAGTTTCAGTAACCTGAATTTAAAACAAACACACACGCACGTCAGCCTTTGAAGTCGTACGACTCAATTACATGAATCAGCAGGGTTATACCTTTAAGTACCCCCTCCCTTCACTTCAGGCTTTACTATCTGCGGTTGCGCGTGAGCCCTCATTGGCTGTTGCTGATAATCGGTCAACAAGAGGACCGGAGGGATACAGGAGGGCACAGGGCAGCATGTTTACAGCTGCTTATGCCCGTAATTAGTTGCCCGGCACAACCGAGTCGCTTTATGAGGTTATTTAAAAATATATATATATTTAGGGTTTTTTTTTTGCTGCTTTGGTTTTTTGGAGACACTGAGCTCTTGTGAGTGCCGTCGATAATGCTTTTGTGTCGCACAGCAGCGGCTCTGGATCT